TATTAAAAAGTAAAAATAGAGGCCGGGTACGGTGGCTCACGCCTATAATCCTAGCACTTTGGGAGGCTGAGGCAGGCAGATCACCTGAGGTCAGGAGTTCAAGATTAGCCTGGCCAAAATGGGGAAACCCCATTGCTACAAAAAATACAAAAATTAGCCAGGCATGGTGGCAGGTGCCTGTAGTCCCAGCTACATGGGAGGCCGAGGCAAGAGAATTACTTGAACCTAGGATGTGGGGGTTGCAGTGAGCCAAGATTGCACCATGGCACCAGCCTGGGCAACAGAGTGAGACTAGATCTCAAAAAAAAAAAAAAAAAAAAAAAAAGGTAAAAATAGAATATGTCAGCAGGGCTGCACAGAAAAAAGAACACTTATACACTGTTGGTGGGAATGTAAATTAGTTCAGCCACTAGGGAAAGCAGTTTGGAGACTTCTCAAAGAACTAAAAACAGAACTACCATGCTGGTGGTTGGTTGCTGGTTCTAAAAATAGAACCCAGCAATCTCATTACTGGGTATATGTCCAAAGGAAAATAAATCATTGGAAAATAAACCATTTTACCAAAAGACACATGCACTCACATGTTCATTGCAGCACTATTCATGATAGCAAAGACATTGAATCAACCTATGTGCCCATCAATGGTGGACTGAATAAAGATAGTGTGGTACATATACACCATGGAATACTTCACTGCCATAAAAAATGAACAAAATAATTTCCTTTGCAGCAACATGGATGCAACTAGAGGCCATTATTCTAAGCGTATTAATGCAGTAACAGAAAATCAAATACCACATGTTTTCATTTATAAGAGGAGGATAAGCATTGGGTACACATGGAAATAAATAAGAGGACAAAAGTCATTGATCACTACAAGAGGGGTGGGGAGTAGGGGGTCAATGGTTAAAGAACTACCTATTGGATACCATGCTCACTATCTGGGTGATGCATTCAGTTATAACCCAAACTGCAGTAGCACACAATATTCACTTGCAACAATCCTGCACGTGTATCCCCTGAATCTAAAATAAAAGTTGAACTTAAAAATAGATACTATAAAATAATACAAAAGATCAATGAACTGTAAAATTGATTTTTTTTTTTTTGAGACAGAGTTTTTTGCTCTTGTTGCCCAGGTTGGAGTGCAATGGTGCAATCTCAGCTCACTGCAACCTCCGCCTCCCAGGTTCAAGCAATCCTCCTGTCTCAGCCTCCTGAGTAGCTAAGATTAGAGGCATGTGCCACCATGCCCAGCTAATTTTATATTTTTAGTAGAGCCAGGGTTTCACCATGTTGATCAGACTGGTCTTGAATTCCTGACCTTGTGATCTGCCCACCTCGGCCTCCCAAAGTGCTGGGATTGCAGTTGTGAGCCACAGCGCCTGGCCAATTTTTTAAACAGGTAAGCAAATGTAACAAATCTTTAGCTAGACTAAGAATGGAGGAGAGAAGACTCAAATAAATAAAATTAGAAGTGAAAAAGCAGACATAACAACTGAGACCTCAGAAGCACAAAGGATTGTTAGGGACTATTATGAACAACTATATACCAAAATATTGGAAACTTAGAAGAAATATATAAATTCTTGTAAATACACAACCTAGGAAGATTGAACCATGAAGAAAAAGAAAACCTGAAGAGATCAATAATGAATAATGAAATCAAAGCAGTAATAGTCTCTCATCGATGAAAAGCCCAACACTTGATGGATTAATTACTGAATTCTACCAAACTTTTAAGGAAGAACTAATACCGATTCTACTGTAACTATTTCAAAAAATCGAAAGGAGGGAATTCTTCCAAACTCATTCTATAATGTCAATATTATCCTGATACTTAAACTAGACAAGTACATACACATACAAAATCTATAGGCCAATATTCCTCATAAACATAGATGTAAAAACCCTAAACAAAACATAATTCAATAAGACATTAAAAAGAACATTCACCATAATGAAGTGGGCTTCATCCTAAAGATGCAAAGATGGTTCAACATATGCAAATCAATAACTATGATATATCACACCAAGAGAATCAAGGACAAAAATATTATGATCATTTTGATACATGCTGAAAAAGTATTTGGTAAAATTCAACATTCTTTTATGATAAAAACTCTTAACAAATTGGATATAGAAAGAAAATACTTCAATACGATAAAAGCCATACATTACAAACCCACATGTAAAATCACACTGAAAGGGGGAAAATTGAAAGCCTTTCCACTAAGATTTGGAACAAGACAAGAATGCTCACTTTCAACACTTTTATTTAACCTAGTTCTGAAAGTCCTAGCCTGAGTAATTAGGCAAGAAAAAGAAACAAAGGTCATCAAAGTTGTAACGGAAGAAGTCAAAATATCTTTGCAGATGACATGATCTTATTTTTAGAAAAACCTAAAGACTCCACTAAAAGTTCTTGGAACTGATGAATTAATTCAATAAAAGTTGCTTTACACTAACAGAAATCAATCTGAAAAGAAATCAAGAAAACAATCCCATTTATAATAGCTCAAAAATACCTATGAATAAATTTAACTAAAGAAGTGAAGTAATCTGTACAAATCAGTGATGGAAGAAATTGAAGACACATAAAAAATGGAAAGATATACCATGGTCATTGATTGGAAGAATTAATACTGTCAAAATCTCTACACTACCCGAAATGATATAAATAATTAATGTAATCCATATCAAATTACCAATGACATTCTTCACAAGAGACAGAAACAAATTCAAAAATTTGAAGGGAACAAGAAAAGGACCTAAATAGCTAAAGTGGTCCCGAACAAAAAGAACAAAGCAGGAGGCATCACATTACCTGATTTCAAATAATACCACAAAGCTATAGTAACCAAAATAGCGTGATACTGGCATAAAAACAGACTCATACACCAATGGAACAAAATAGAGAACCCAGAAGTAAATCCATGCACTTACAGCCAACTCATTTTTGACAAAGGTGCCAAGAACATTCAATGGGGAAAAGTACAGTTTCTTCAATAGACGATGCTGGGAAAATGGGATATCCATAAGAAGAAAAATGAAATTAGATCTTTATCTTTTATCATATACAAAAATCAACCAAAAATAGATTAAAGACTTAACTATATGACCCCAAACTATGAAACTACTAGAAGAAAATGCTGGGGAAATACTACAGGACACTAGTCTGGGCAAAGATTTTTCTTGGGTAACACCTCAAAAGCACATGCAACAAAAGCAAAAATAGACAAATTTATATCAAGCTAGAAAGTTTCTGTAGAGCAAGGAAACAATCAACAAAGTGAAGAGACAACCTATAGGATGGGAGAACATATTTGCAAACTATCCATCTGACAAGGAAATAATAACCTGAATATATAATGAACTCAAACAACTCAATAGTAAAACCTCTCAAATAATTCAATTAAAAATGAGCAAAATACCTGAATAGACATTTCTCAAAAGAAGACATACAAATGGCCAACAAGTATATGAAAAATGTTCAACATCTTTAGTCATCAGAGAAATGCAAGTCAAAACCACATTGAGGTTATATCTTATCCAAGTTAAACTGGCTATTATTTCAAAGACAAAAAATTAAAAAATGCTGGCAAGGATGCAGCATTTTTTAATTTTTTGTCTTTGAAATAATAGAGAAAGGGAAATGCTCCTACACTGTTGGTGGAAATGCAAAGTAATATGGAAATTAGGGGAAAGAGTATGGAGGGTCCTCAAAATACTAAAATAGAACTACTATATAATCTAGTAATCCTACTGCTGGGTATATTTTCAAAAGAAAAGGAATCAGTATGTAGAAGTGATATCTGCATTCCCGTTTTTTTTTGTGGCGATGGTCTCAATAGTTACCTAAGTGTCCATCATTGGATGAATGGATAAAGAAAAGGTAGTATATACACACAATGGAATATTATGCAGTCATAAAAAGGAATGAAATACTATCATTTCCAGGAACATAGATGGAACTGAAGTTCATTATTTTAAGTGAAATAAGTCAGGCATAGAAAAACATCCCATGTCCTAGTTCATATGGGGAGCTAAACAAGTTGATCTCATGGAGGTAGAAAGTAGACTGGTGGTTATCAGAGGCTGGAAATAGAAGGGAGTGGGGGTGGGGAGGGGGTAAAAAGCGAATTTGGTTAATGAGTACAGAAATACAGTTAAATAGAAGATATACGTTCTAGTATTGACACTACTGTAGTGATATAGTTTGGTTGTTTGTCCCCTCCAAATCTTATGTCAAAATGTGGTCCCCAGTGTTGGAGGTGAGGCCTAGTGGGAGGTGTTTGGATCATGGGGAATGGATTCCTCATGAATTAGGTTTAGCGCCATCCCCTTGCTGGTGAGTGAGTTCTCGTGAGATCTGGTTGTTTAAAAGTGTGTAGCAGCTCACCCCTGTATCTCTTGCTTTTGCTTTCACCATGTGACATGCTGGCTCCCTGTTGCCTTCCACAATGACTAAAAGCTTCCTGAGGCCCTTACCAGAAGCAGATGCCAGCACCACCTTCTTGTGCAGCCTGCAGAACTGTGAGCCAATTAAACCTCTGTTCTTTGTAAATTACTCAGTCTCAGAGATTTCTTTATAGCAATGCAAAAATGGCCTTACACACGTAGGGAGACTATAGTTAACAATAATTTATTTTATATTTCAAGATAGCTAGAGGAGAAGAATTGTAATATCTCCAACACAAAGAAAAGATGAATGTTTGAGGTGATGGATATCCCAGTTACCCTGATTTGATCATTATGCACTGCATACATATATCAAAATTTCACATGTACCCCACAAATATGTATAATGATTATATATCAAGAAAAATAAAAACAAAAACCAAAAAAGAAAGAAACTACAAGAGCTCACTTGGGAAGGTGACATGTCTATTATCATTATTAAGTCATCCCAGAACATAGGTCACAAAGCAACATGCTGATATTCTATCAGAATTGTCAAAATTCTGTAGACATAGTGTGAAGAGGGTCTTGGGGCTTACCTTAAAAGAGATTTCATACTGTTCTCCGCCCCAGATTTCTAAACCTGGATCATAGCCACCCAATTCCCAAAACCATTTCCGATCCACAGCAAAGAGACCTCCAGCCATAACAGGAGACCTGTGAAATGAACAAAATAATCTTTAAAGGACTATGAACATTACAGACAACGGCATTTTGCTTGGGAAAAAAGTAAAATTCAAGATATGTTTTAGTGGTCAGCTGTGTGGAATTTTCAGCACTGGTTCTCTGTAAGTGGATATAGGGTTCTCTTGGGTCTGTTACCAAAGTGGACACGGGTGGGGATGGAGAAAAATTCTTGTGAGCATTAAATATTTGCAGTTCAAGTTTTAATGCAACAATTGCCCTGCAGAGCCACATTTGCTCCACTTGTTTGTCATTAATGAGAAATATTACTACATGAGTAATAATGACCCATAAAGTGAGAAATATCACTCAATTTTATGGTTTTTCCCCAAACTAAAGGGATCTTATTCTATCAGACAGATAAAAGTATTGAAAATGCTTTTGTAGACAATATCTTTGAGTAATCTCTCAGTACTCATTCACCAAGCATCTACTATGAACAGGTCATGTCCAATTTACAAATTACAAATCGGCTAGTTAGAATAAAATAAACAACCAGAATTAGTTGTTTAATGTGCTAAAGTTGAAATTTAAACGAAGTCTTTTCATTTTATCCTATTCTTTTTAGGCCTTCTCTGCCTTTCTAAGAACTATTAATTTTGATTAAATAATAATTTTCAAGTATTCCACTCATGCTAGGATGCATTCATGTAATAAGATAATTATAACTACTTGGTGGGCCCTGCCCTAAATGTTTTTGCAGTTCAAAAGTGTTCTTGTTTATTTATTTTTTGACTGCTCACTATGCGCTGGGCTAAAGGGTAAGATCTATATCTAATTACCTTGATCAATCCTCACAACGACCCTGTGAACAACAAACATCCCTATGCACGGTTCGAGGAATCACGCAGAAGAGGTGGAATGTTGCCCAAGACTGAGGCTAGTGTGTGGTGAGGCTGAGCTAGGGCTCTTTACCACAACACTGTTTCTGTTTCAAAGTTTGGAGGCGAAGAGAGATAACTACATACAAATGGATATGAAACAGAGAACACCCTTATGCAGATCAAGCAAATCGATAAAAACACATAATTGATGTGACAGTTTTGAAAATTTTTTTGAAATAAAGGATATTTATAAATAACAGTACAACATTTTAAATGTTGATATACACAAAAAGATATGCATAACCATAGTAGACACCAATTTATTGATCAACTGAGAACTTAGTCTTGGTAATGCTTTATGAGCCACTTGGAGAACATAAACCTGAATCTGTCTTCAGTGTATTATATAATTCAAAGACTTTGCATGCTAAGATGGTACCTGATTTAATTACTTCAGTCTAGGAATTTTTTGAAGATGTAGGCTTTATGCAGATGAAGAGATTGCAAGACTGGAAGAGGGATTTAGGTTTTTCCCCAGGAAAGTGGGCAGAATTCAGAAAATAATATAAAGAAACTCTCTCATGTAATTTTTTATTTTGTTTGTAATAAAAATCCAAGAATCATATGTGCCTTACTTTATCCCTCTCTCTAGCAGTCTGATCTTTTCCCATTTTTCACCCACTGAATTTCAGAGAGGAATTACAACTGAAGCTGCAACAAACTAGGATTGTAACATTTATCGGGTGCAGTTCCCCAAAGAACACTTTACCAATTGTAAGCATTGCTTCTGCAAGTGTTAGTTATAAGTAGTCAGAAACTCTCAGTCTTATTTAAGCTGAACTGCAAATAGAAAAGTCCCAAGTCATACAAATATATTCTTATTTGATTGTGTAAAACATGAGACAAAGTGCACCAGAACTTACACTGTGCACAATGAATCCCAAAACTAGAACTACCAGAGGTATGGTGTTAAAGATAGTGGGCAAGAAAAATTCTAGGTTGGGTTTTTATTGCAAAGTGTCAGAAACACAATAATCTTGTTTTCTTAATGAATTTATAAAAAACTCATGCAGTGTATCTCAGGTTATTTTAGACATATAATAACATAAATTCAGATGGATCTCCTGTACCTTTATTGATGTTCCTACAAAGACCTAAATAAATTAGTATCTCCTGTCTTGATTGGTGTGAATGACAGGTAAGAAATAAACTTTTTATTTACTGTATTTATGTCTTTACTCATATTTGTCCATGAGTTTTAAAAACAGCTTAATTGTTGTGTAATTGACGTACAATTGATTGCACATATTTTAAGTGTACAATTTGATAGATTTTGACTTGTGTGTATCTCCATGCAGCCGTCACTGAAAATGGACCTATCTGTTATTTGTCAAAGTTTCCTTATGTCTCTTTGTAATCTCTTCTCATTTCCTTCCACAGGCAATGACTGATCTGCTTTCTGTCACTGTAGATTAGTTTGCATTTTCTACAATTTTTTATATATAGAATTATACAGTATACATGTTTTGGGGGGTCTGGCTTCTTTCATTCAGTATAACTATTTTGAGACGCATCCATGCTGTAGCATGTATCAATTGTTCATTATTTTTAAATTGCAGAGTAGTATTCTATTTGCATGAATTTACCGCAATTGATTATCCATTCACCTGTTAATGGATGTTTGGGTTGTTCCCATTTTGGGATATTACAAGCTGCCATAAACTTTGTGTACTAATCTTTGTGTGGATATGTGCTTTCATTTCTCCTGGGAAAATTCCTAGAAGTGGAATAACTAGATCATGTAGTAGGTATGTCTAATCTTTCAAGAAACTGCCAAACTGTTTTCCAGAGTGGCTGTACCACTTTCTATTCCTGGAAGCAGTGTTGAGTTCCATTTGCTTCAAGTCCTCACCAAGACTTGTTATGGTCAGTCTTGAAGTTTAGTCATGATAATAGGTATATAGTGGTATCTTCTTTTGGTTTTATTTTGCATTTCCATAATTATTAATAATGTTAACGTGTTTGTATCGTTTCTGTTTTTCCTAGTAAGTCTGGCTAGAGGCTTATCAATTTTGTTAATCTGTTGAAAGAACTAACTTTTGGTTTCATTGATTTTTCTCTATCGTTTTTCTGTTTTATATTTCATTGATTTCTCTTTAGTCTTTATTATTTTAATCCTTCCGCTTACTTTGGATTTAATGTGCTCTTCTTTCCTGGTTATTTAAGGTGGAAACTGAGATAACTGATTTGTGACTTTTTAAAAATATAGGTGTTTAGTGCTATAAATCTCTTCGTAACTATTGCTTTAGTAGACTACTACAAATATAAGAATACATCATGTTATTTTTTTCATTCAGTTCAAAATATTTTCTAATTTCTCTTTTATTTTTTGACATATAGGTTATATAGAAGTATATAATTAGTTTCTGAATATTTGGGGAATTTTTTGGAGATCCTTTGGTTATTAATTCCCAATTTAATTCCATTGTGGTCAGAGAATATACTTGGTATGACTTGAATTCTTTTAAATTTATTGTGACATTTTAATGACCTAGAATATGGTCTATCTTGGTAAATGTTCCATGTATATTTGAAAAGGATGTGTATTCTATTCCTGTTGGGTACAGTGTTCTACAAATATTTATTAGGTCAAGTTGGTTGACAGTGTTGTTCGAATCTCCTATATTCTTATTGACTTTACATCACCTTGATGTATCAATTACGGAAAGAGGGGTATTGAAATCTATGACTATATTCTGGATTTGTTTATTTCTTCCTGCTATTCTGTCAGTTTTATGCATCATGTTTCTGTAGCTCTCTTAATAGGTGCATACATGTTCAGGCTTTTTTTTGTTGTTGTTGTTCTTGATGAATTAACTTTATTATCGCTATGAAATGACTTTTATTATCCCTAATAATATTCTTCACTCTCTCATCTATTTTGTCTTGATATTATTGTAGTCACTCCAGCTTTATTTGGATTTGTGTTATCTAAATACTAGTATTTATAACTTTTTCTATCTTTTTACTTTTAAACTCTTTGTGTCTTTACGCTTAAAATAGTTTTCTTATGGGTAACATATACTTGCATCTTGCATTTCAACTGTGTTATTTAGATCACTTACTTTCAATGTGATTATTCGTGTGTTTAGGTTGAAATCTATAATCTTCTTCTTTCTCTTCTATTTGTCTCACCTGTTGTTTTCTTTCCCCTTTTTTTTGTCTTCCTTTTGATTAACTGGATATTTTTCATAATTTCATTTATTATCCTTTTTGACATAACAGTACTCCTTGTTTCTTCATTTTAAGTGGTTTCTTTGTTATCGTAATGGTTTATGGCATATATCTTTCTTTGATCACAGTTTATGTTTCAGTGATATTATGTCACCACACATATATTATAAAAAGCTACTGAGAGTATGGCTGCATTTCTCTTCCCCCGGTCTATGTCTTTGTTATCACACATTTTACTTTTACACATGTTTTAAATCCCCATGTTGTATTATTATTATTTTTGTTTAATTGGCCAATTACCTTTTAAAAAGATTTAAATAATATTTTATTATGAACACCATTTTGTATAGATGAAATTATATTATGAACACCTTTTCTGTATTCTGTTGGAAATAAGTGGCTCTAAGGAAAATTTAAATTGTGACGTATTATGCACAACTGAGTTTGTGGATTAAAATTCATACTCCACCACCAAAATAGGAGTTAACTATTATGCAGTGTTGTACTGAAGTTAACAAGGATGACTGCTTCCCTCATATATTAAAGATAAAAGATTTTAATGTGTCACACTGCTTTTTCATTAGAGGAAATGAAAAAGAGTAGTTTATTAGTTTGAGCATGTTCTTCCAGTCTTTTGCTTTAAACATAATATTAATGACTTGAAACTTTAGCTATGGGCTCCATTTCCTACAATCTCTCGCTTGTTTATTTTCACATTGTTTTCTTGCAAAATATTCTTGCTATTTTTGTTTCCCTGAAAGTGTTAACACATTGCAAGTGTGTTCTAATGTGGCTCTGTGTCCATGTAACTTTTAACATATTAATGTACTTTATGAATATTGCTCACAATATCACAAATCAGGCTTTGAGTTTTGCTACTAATACAAACCTGTTATCCATGAGATGCCTTTTAAA